AGGTCGCTCTTGCGCGTTCGGATCGCGCGATCGTCGCTACAATCCAATCATTATCCTCGGTCTACTCCCATACTCTCCCCGCGATAGTATCGCGACAACTGTACGCGTTTGTCCTCGCGCGTTATTCGATTAGCCAAGGAAAATCGCTTCGAAAAGACAAACAAAGGCCTGTTGCAGCCACGAGTACCACGCGCCTTTCGCTTCGTCGCCTCTCCGCGTTTCGGCGTACCGATAACCTAGGTCGCATCCAACGACAACTTCGAAGAAACCAGATAAACGTTTTCGTCGTCTTTCCCGCCTCCTTCGATCGCCAACGTTCGTGCGAACGTTTAACCATCTATCGCAGCATCTGCCGCAGCTTTCGCGACCGTATCGACCGACTTTTATCCGCGAAATCAACCGATAAACAAATACTTGTCGCACGCGGTTTTATTGTAAATTTCCACGACGTCGTTCGAAATCGTCTCCAATCGATCCGATTTCAAAACTATTTGGCTACTTTATTTTTCTGTCTTCCTCCACCTCCTCCTTCTTCTCCTCCTCCTCCAATTTCTTCCCCTTCTTCTGCTTTCCCTCTCTCTTTCTCTACCTCTCCCGCACCTCCTCTCCACCCCCCTTTGCCGTATCGTAAAAAACTAAATTCATCTAGAAATCTAACCGTAGTCTATCTCGAGTAACGTGTTTACAACGAAATACAAATAAACGAAGGTAAATGAATAACAATTAGATCTCGACGGCAACCAGGTGCGTCAAAGTCCGAGGACGACGACTTGGCTCGCGTCTGATCTCGCACGCTCGATCGAGTGTACGTTGGACGGAAGGATTTTCTCTTGTACGGTAACGAGAGACGAGAATATTTATCGATCGCTGACGCACACGGTCTTCGATAAATCGGCTATCGATGACGATGATTCGTCCGGACGATGGAGCTCGTTCCACGATAGAAATTCGTCCGTACTTTCTTCCTACTACTTTTACACCCCACCTCTATTCCTAATTCCCTTCTCCTCTTCGCACGCTCTCGTAATTGTTCTCCTCTTCTTGTACGCGCGTATGCATGCGCGCACACACGTACACGCACGCGACACGCAACACGCTGAAACTTCGACGCGTACTTCCGTCTCTTCCGCTTCGCTTTCCTACCTCGTTCGCTTGAATTCGCACGAATTTACAAAGACGCGAACGATTCGGTGGAAACCGAGGTATCGTTCGACGAGCGGAATATACGCGCGAACGAAGCGCGGAACGGCCGGCCGTCGTTATACTACCCGGCGAAAGTCCTCGTAAAAGGTAAACGTTATCGTTACGCGAAACAACGTGATTGCCCTCTCCCCTTTTCTCTAAGAGGGAATAAGAACGACGACAAGGACAACCACAACCACAACGACAACGACAACGACAACGACAACGACAACGTCAACGGCAACGACGACGACAACGACAGCGATTCAAGATCGAAACGATTCTTATCTCTCTCTCTCTCTCTCTCTCTCTCTCTCTCTCTCTCTCTCTCTCTCTCTCTCTCTCTCTCTCTCTCTCTCTCTCTCTCTCTCTCTCTCTCTCTCTCTCTCTCTCTCTCTCTCTCTCTCTCTCTCTCTCTCTCTCTCTCTCTCTCTCTCTCTCTCTCTCTCTCTCTCTCTCTCTCTCTCTCTCTCTCTCTCTCTCTCTCTCTCTCTCTCTCTCTCTCTCTCTCTCTCTCTCTCTCTCTCTCTCTCTCTCTCTCTCTCTCTCTCTCTCTCTCTCTCTCTCTCTCTCTCTCTCTCGCTATATATATCTCTCTCTATACGTCTCTCGCTCTCTCGATCGTTGTATCCCTTGGAAAATTGCCAGGGCGAAAACATAACGCGTACACGCTCGAGATCGCAGGACGTAGAAACGGCCGACCGAGCAACCGGACGATCTACTTGGAACTCGATGAATTCTGGAAAGCCGGGTTCAGCTGACCGGTTTTGCCCGCGGTCGCGTTCGACGGCAACGGATTGGTGAGGTGCAGCTTCTCTTGTCGTTTGGCGGCGCGCGCCAGACACAGGAGCGCTCCTATCAAAACGATCGCTCCTATCGCTGCCAGAGCTCCGGATACCGCTGCTCGAGCTATCGGTGGCACGTCCACGGCCATCTTCATCAGGCTTCGCATCTCTGCCGGAAGTTCGTCGATGCCCTGCGCAACGGAAGAATGCAGAATAACATCGTTAACGCGGCGCGATCGATTCCGGCCGGGTGGCCGTCGTGTCATTCGACCGAAAGCGTGATAATGTAGCGGCGATAAACCGTCGATAGAAGGACGCTATAGCTACGACGAAGCGACGAGGATGAGCATGGGGGGAGGCGACAACAGCAACCGTGCGTACATACCGAATTATCGACACGAACGGTCATTCCATCGAAATGAATCACGCGTAGAGGCGTCGAACGACGCGACCGCGCGTACTCCTTCCATATTACCGTCACGAATATTTAGCCGCGCAACGAGTATCGGCATCATCGCTTGTAGCCATTGTCACAGTCACCGTCGTCGTGGCTAATCGCTCCCCCATCGTAGCTCCTTCTCACGCGATCGATCCGTCCCGACCCATAGAAACAACGATTCGTATCATCGTGCCCGCGGCGAAACGATCGAACGCGGTATGCGATCGATATACTCACGTCTTCGAACCACATGATCGGGAAAACGATATCCGGGAACGAGGCGACGTGTTTAATGTCCCGCACTTGCTTCACCGCCAGATTTATCTGAATTCTTGCTTTCGCTCTCAACGATGTGCCCATCATCGGTTGAACGTCGATGTAGAATTGATGCTTGTCCTCGACCGGCGGCGATATTCCGCTTACCGACTCTCGAAGCGACGGTTCCCCTGAAAATCGTCGTTCGTGAACGACATTTGTGAAAGTTAGTTTTGGGAAAAAAAGGCCGACCGTGCACGGACCGCGAGTTCTCAGCCGCGGTTCTTTGGCCGCGGCTCGCGAGACCTGCCCGATTTCATCAACCGTATTCAAAACCGTATTCAACGTACGTACCGCCGACGATTTCCCCAAGCGAGAAAAGTTCTCACGCGCGCTCCACCGGCCCCGCGCCGACCGAATTCGTCTGTGAATTCGTCCGTTTGCCAGAGCGAGAGGATTACGACGAGCCGGAGTGGGGGCAGTAGATACAACGAGATAACGGATGCGGACGTAACGAGCACGGATATACGTATGTTAACGCGAGTATCGTAGATCGGCCATCTTACCAAGGTAAAAATGCGGAAAACTGAGCAACACCGGCGAATCGTACTGGCAGAGCGAGACGTTGAAGGTTCCCTCGGGAGCGCAAGGTGGACCCGCTGGGCAGAAACATCGCTGTGTTTCCAATCTGTTCGGAGAAGCGAACGCGTCGTTCGCGGGCACGAACCTATACCCGGGTACTCCACCAGCTGTGGTCACCTCCTCCTGAAACGAATCGAGCAAACGACCACGTGCGAACGAGCGATTCGATGCTGGAAGAGGGGACGCCCCCCCCCCCTACTNCCCCCCCCTACTTTTACTGCTGCGACCACGCGTTACCTTAAACACCAGGGGCAATGCCCTGCAAAGATCCTTGTCGAACACTTTCAGCACCGTTTGCTTGGTGATGCGCGGCGGAAAGATGCTTCCGTCGCTACCAGCGACGCTGTCGCACTCCGCCGTGGTCCAGTGGCCCAGGTTGTCCTTCCCGTTCCACTTGTCCAGAATTCCGTATTTACCGATGTCCTCTTGGCCGGTGTAGATGGTGTACCAGTCGGGCGTTGTCCCGTTTTTCCCGTACAACAAACCGAATTGATCGTACGGCAACTTTTGATCCTTCGAAACCACGTCCTTGGCCAACTTGAGCAACGGGTCCTCGTAGCCCCAGAGTAGTTGACCGATCGAAACCTCGACGAACGGCTTTATGTTCAGTATGTCCATGATCGAGGCTATCGCCAGCCTCAAGAAACGCGCCGCATTCTTGGACTGGGTGGTGGCCGAAAGCATCGGTATGTTCGGCACCACGACCAAATCCTCTTCCGAGCCGACCGACAGTTCCTGCAAATATTCCTCCGATAAGATTCGTTTTTCACGCGGTGGTTATTCGTCGACGTGGTCGATCGCCAATACCGGCTTCTCTCTTCCATCGAAAACGAACCGCGAAACCACGCTTTCGCGGTCCTGCTGGGATGTAGCGCTACGATTGCCCTTTCCTACGCGAACGCTACCGCGTGTACGCCGTCGACAAACGTATTGCGTTCGATCGTTCGCACTCGCTAGCGACCCATATTGTTATCGTTGGCCGCAAAAGTAACAATCCTGGGAAAGAAGGTGTAACGCGTGCGACGCACACCTCTCGGAGAGAATCGTGCCACGTCGACCGAACGCACCTCGTCGTTGCCGTACACCTTTGCTTTTAATTCGCGGAAGCGCGTTGCTCCGCTATTACGATCTTACTCAACTCGCGTTGATCGTTACCAACACATAGAGCGTTACGTCACACCGCGCGAACAAACTTACTCTCCGTAGCAGTCTCCTACGAAACGAGAAACTACCTTGCCCGCTCTCCGCTTTGCTCTCCCCTTACAACCCAGCCACCATTCAAACCTATTCAAACCTAATGTATCTTTTATCGCTGTATCTTTTATCGCTCTCTCTCTCTCTCTCTCTCTCTTTCTCTCTCCCCTTCTCAGTCTCAGACTACCGAAACCTTTACTCTCTCTTACTTTTATCGTGGCGAGAAGTAACGCGATTAGGTATGGACAAAGATCGGCAGGCTCACCGGTACGAAAACAAACTCCTTCTTCATTTTGTACGACAACGTATCGTTATCGTTGAATTTTACGTCGACCTTTTCCCAGTGTTGCATGTACACGTACGGCCCGAGTTCCACCAATGCTGGTTTCTCGCCATCGTTTAAAAATTCATCGGCGTTCGTCACATTGTAAATGTAGACGCTCAATCGAGGTGACAACGGAGGTTCCCTCCACCAGTTGAACGTGCGGCCACCATCACGAAGGGCGATCTCTCTGTTCAGCAAAGCGTCGACCAATTTTGGAAAGACCGCAGCCAAAATCGCGGCAACGATGATCATCAATGCCCCGACAGCCACCGCTGCCCCTGCGATCAAAGTAGACGCGTTAGTCGCGCGTTGCGTATGCTCGAGGAAAAGGAAAGAAAGTTGGTCGGGTCGCGTCGCCTCGCAATCTCGGTCGTCCCCAGCCTCCCCTTCCCCTCCCACTATGCCCCGTTTCTCGTCGGAATCGTCGCGTTTCTATCTCGCTACACGGCTATTTTACCGTTTCTCGGCCAATTTCCGTATTCGCGTACGCGTTCTTAGGACATAAATCATACGCGATCGGAGTTGCGACGAAAAATCGAAAGGCCAACGGTACCGATACCGACGCCTGCAGCGGCGCGATGTCGCGCCAACTTACCGCTCGCCATTGCGCGATCTCCGCGATTCGGACGATAATTTATTCGCACGGATCTAAACAGGAATGGAGAAACGAGTATCGCCGTAGATTCCACGGCAAATTTTTCATCGCGCTGAAACTAGTCGGGTTCGTTCGTTTCGTTCAAGAACTCGAAACGATTTTCGAAACGATTACGAAACGAGTCGATAGCGTAACGTTCCGATCGATCGATCGGTCGATGGTGCGCGTTAACGCACCGAGCCAACGTCGCGTCGATTAATTTTCCAATCACGTAACGCGAAAGACACAAGTGGTACGAGCGGTGACCTTCGAAACGAACGGTCCTACTTTTTCAATTTCCATACGGAGCGCAAAGTTTAGATCGCGTGGCTAACCTCGACCAACTCCGACCGATCGGAACTCGATCGATTCGTCGGCGTTTCGTCTGCGAGCAAAGAAACGGCGAGCCCGGCTCGTGAAACGGAACGAAGAGAAACGCACTGTCGAGAAGAAGCACGCATCGGACATGCGAGGCACGGCTTACCGAGTCGCGGACGTCACGCGTCCGACCTTACAAAATCCTTGGAGTCGTCGCGTGTAACATCGTGACCTCGCGATCGAACTTTCGAAAGATCGCCACGACACGTTACGACGCTCGACGCAACAACGACTTTGCTTACGCTCGTGTTCTACTTTTCGACGCGAAGCTCCTGCGATTTCAAAAGCAGACGCGCGCTCGCAGGTCGGAGCGAATCGTCCACCAACTTTGCACCGTGCTCGTGCAAACGCGTACGGCAAACGCTCGTGGCTCGTGCGCGTTTTCCACATCGATGACCTTGCGATGTTCGGCCTTCGAATTCAGCTACGATCGTGACGGACGATCGTCGATCGCTACCGGTTTTATCTAGGATAGCTCGAGGTCGAGATCGCGTGTAACGACGATCGAGATCGATAGGCCGTAAGATCGGTCTGAAGCAGAATCGCTCGCTTATACGTAGGCGACGCGCATCGTCTCGCTGTTAAACGTCGCTCGTAGCGACCCAGCGACGAAGGTCGCGGCCACCAACATCCGTCCGTCTAAGCGCGTGCAACGTTCGATCGCCTTCGTGGTACACGTACGCGTCGCGTTTTGTCGTTTGCCCGGTGGCCGAGCTCGATCGTACGACGTAACGCGGAACCGCCCGATCAGCCGAAACTGACAAATTGACGAATATCATCGATGACATCGACGGGACCATCCGCGTCGACGGAAAAAACGAGCTCGCGTTCCAGGTTCGCCCGTCACGAATCTTCTTGCGCAACTACCGATTCGCTAGCGGACAGACGCCACCGACGAGGAAAAATCACGTTCCGATCGAATGGACTACAAAAGAGAGAAAGCCACGTTTGCCCGTCCCGTCGTACAGCCTCGTAAAGCCTGGTAAAATCTCGTAAAACCGTACCGTTTCGCGATCCTGGAAACG